GCATCTACAAGGCACGAGGTGTCACCCGTCACGCCAACAACACCCTCCACGTCAGCATCTACGAGATCGCTGCCGAGCACTCCAACAGGTGAGGGGACGGGGATGGGAATAAGGTGGTGGAAATGGGGATGCGGATGGGGACGGGAATGAAGATGTTGGGGATGGAGATGGGGCTGGGGCCGCCAGTGAGCGCCAGCCCTGGCATTTTCCCTTCCCACCACCATGCACCGCTGCGCCAGCTGTTCCCACTGGGCAATGCCACACCCTGGCTTTTTTGCTGGGGCTGGGAGGATGCTTTTCCCAGGACAGCTGTCAGGGTGTCACCATCATGTCCGGCACAGCCGTAGGCACTGGGAGCCGCCATCCTGACGTGGCTGTGCCGGGACCTGTATGGACACAGGCACCAAGGAGTCATTTCCGTGAATTATTCCTGGTGCTGATGCCCTTTGGGTGCTATTACTCATCTGCTTCGGGTTTTCGCCCCCATTTCCACAGGGAGTCTGACCTGTTCCTGCTGGATGTCCAGGACCTGTGTGCTGGGACCGAGGGCTGGCTGGTGTTTGACGTCACAGCTGCCAGCAACCACTGGTTAGTGGATCGGAAATACAACCTGGGGCTGCGACTCTACGTGGAGACAGATGATGGTAAGCCTGCCTAACCTACCTGCACCATTTGGGGCCAAATCCCCGGGAACTGGAGTCCTCCTACCCCCTCATGGTGCCGCAGTGGCGGGGGGGTGTGTGTGTGTGTGTGTGTTTGTCTTCTGCACCTTTAAATTTCCAGCTGTGATGGAGAACAGCGGGCACCAGGAGTCAGCAGCTCTGGGTTTGCAGGCAAGCGCTGATGGCGAAGCCTCCCAAAGGCATTAATGCTAATGGTGTTCCTGGTGTGGGCTGTAATAACCCCTTTAGCACTTAATGAACTCCTTACCTGGAGGGATCCTCCGGTATCTGCCAGAGTACCTCTTCTCACCAAGGGGTCAAATATGCTCCAAAGGTGCCATTTGCAGGTGCACAGGTACACAAAGACCAGCTCCGTTCCCACGGGAGGAGAAACGGCACCTGCTAATGCTCCGTCCATCCCCTTCCCTCCCAGTGCACCGAGCTTTCCTCCCCAGTGCGGAAGGGGAAAATCAGTCGCTTGGGTCTCACTTGGTTTTAATCCTTGAATTGCTCTACGTGACCGTGTGGTGGTGGCTGTGCAGGATGAGGCCATATCACCTCTGTGAGCTGCCCATCATACACCCACCCAGTGTGGGGGGAACAGCAGAGCAGGAGCCCCAGGGTGGTCCGGCCACTCGGGATGCCAAATCCACGTCTTTCCACTGCAAATTTTCCGTATTTTTTTTTTTTCCTTGCTTTAACCTAATGAGTTCATGCTGAGAGCAAACTCACGCGTGGTTCCATCCCTGCAGGGCACAGTGTTGACCCAGGCTCAGCGGGGCTGCTGGGGCGCCGGGGGCCCCGATCCAAGCAGCCCTTCATGGTGACATTTTTCCGGGCGAGTCCCAGCCCCGCGCGTGTTACGCGGGCGGCCAAACCCCCGAGGAGGCGGCAGCCCAAGAAGACGAACGACCTCCCACATCCGAACAAGCTGCCGGGAATTTTTGGTAAGAGCTTTGCAGGGCAAGAAGCGATCCCTACGGAAATCGCCAGGCTCTGCTGCTGCCACGATCGTGGGACCTTTTGTTAGTACCGGGTCCCAATTTTGGCCCAGAAATGCATCCCCAGGGCAAGTGGAGCAAAGAGCGCTGGGCTTTTAGGATTGTGGTTGTTCGCGGTTCGGGAGGTGCGGTGGCTCTGGGGTGGGCACCCTCGAGGTGATGGTGTTTCGTGGGGTTTGGGGAATACCTGAATATTGGACTTTTTTGCATCATTGCCCTCAGTTTCGAAGCAGTCCTGGGAGGGCACCGCGCCGGGGGGGGTGTCACAGCCCTGGGCAGGAGGGAAGTGAGAAGCCGCAGCTCCCCCAAACTCATTTAGCTTGGGAAACCCTCGAAGCCAATTCCACCACGAGCAGGGCTGGATTTAGCCCTTCCCAGGCTGAGTCCCCTTGTCCCAACGTTGGAGCAATAAATTTCGGGCTGGTCTGAAGCTTCTTTTCCTTTTGTGCAGCCACGGAGGCTCCTCTTCTTTCGTTCTGGCATCGTCCGGGCTGTTCAATCCCACCCTTGTGTGCTGCAGCCGGGGGG